CTAAATTAATCCAGTATTCAAACAGCTGTTAAATATTGGGAGTGCAGCCAGCTATGGGATTGGTGAGAGCAGGGGTGGAACCCCTAGTTTCCTATAAAGAAAGGTTAGGCTTCTGACTGGTAGCTGGGTAGCTTTCATCTGGGTAGCTTTCATCTCTCCCCCCCCCCACTTTATACTGGGTAGCTGGGTAGCTTTCATCTCTCCCCCCCCTTTATACTTACTGTGCTGCTCTATTTTATTTCATTCTTCTGTATAATATCCAGGACAGTGGATTATTGTTCTCCAATTTGTGAAATTCAGTTTATGGGATGTATTGTACTGTTGGTTTTTAAAATTCCCTTTCATTATATAATCTTGTTTTATTACAATGTTTATCGTATGTATTTATACTGGTCGTTATTGAACTGTTTTTATAAGTAGAACAAAGTTTGAGTCCAGTGGCACCTTGAAGACCAACAAAATTTAATTCAAGGTTTCGTGTGCATGCACAACTGGACTCAAACTTTGTTCTGCCGCTTCAGACCAAGACGGCTATCCCCCTGAATAAGTGTGTTATCCAGTTTGAGAAAGGCAGATGATAAATACATAAAGATGAAGGAGATCTTTTAAAGCAGCCAGCGTTGTCTTTAGATAATACTGACTGATTTAATTTTAACAGCGATGCCTATAGACTTCCGCCACACTTGTATAGAATATTCAGAACCCCCCCCCCCCATCGGAACCGGACGTGAAGGTTGCACGGGAGTCTCTCGATTTATTTCTATGGTTTTAGGGAGGGGGCGGGGCGTACGTTTTGGGGGTGTGTGGTGGTGGTCATTGGTTCTGGAACGAGAAAAGAAAGACCGTTGAATGCCCGGTGGACCAATAAACGATTGATAAAGGAATAAGCCAACCAAGAGAAGACGTTTTCGCAAATGGCAGTAACGCTGACCAACGAAAATCGCTCTTTTAAAAGAGGCGGGACGCCGGAAAGAAATTACGAGCGTTTGCTTTCTAGGCTGCAGCTTGTTGGGGGCGGGGGGCAGGCAGAGGCGGCTACTCCCGCCCCCCTCCAGATACAGGGTACAGCGGGGGCAGGGTGTGTGTGTGTTCTAACCTGATTTTAGTACTTTTAGGGGAGCAAGAAAAGAATGGGAGGGCTTTAAGCCTTAAAGGGCCATGCGCCTTTTAAAAAGTTGGTTAGTGGGTCAGGTTGGAAAAAATTTGGGATCAGGAATTAAGGGTATCAGTATCGGCACACACCCGCAGGAATTCTTCGGGGGCCTGGAATGATGAACACAGAGCAAGTGCAGTCGAGAACTGGAAAGGAGGGTTTCCTTAAAACATGCACGTTCAGAAACAGGAAAGAAGTTTTGGCGCTTAAAAACAGTAACAGATATATGATGGCACAAGCTTTTGGGAAGCAGAGCCGGTTTCATCTGCTTTATCTTATGCTGCAATATGGTTTTCTATCCTTTTGCTGTTGCAACAGATTAACAGGGTTTCTTTCTCTGGAATATTATTTTTTCTCGTTGCAGAATGGACCAAACGCAGCTGTTGGACTGGGTTGAGGAGAGCGATCCTGAAGACCCTTCTGATGGGGCGGGGGATGCCAGGGAGAGCCCCAAGCCTGTGGGGCGCCTCCACCTTCTGAGCAGCAAGTATGGGCCTGAGAAGGGTAAGGTTGCCTCTGTGGTTTATAACATAAATTCTTCCTTTTTGACCATTACAGCAATCAGATTGTTGGATTTGTGGCTGTATATTTGGGGTTGAGAATAATATGGTGGATTCTTTTTAAAAGGAAAATAAAGTAGATTCTTAAGCCCTGGACCTCACAAGCTGGTGCCCTTTTATGCTCAGGTCTAGGGGTCTGGTGGCGAAGCTGCCTTTCTGAGCTATGGAAAGCTGTTGAAAACTGCCTTTTGGGGACAAGTGATTTTTGAATGGTTCACAGTGGATATCAAGAGGATTTGGGGGCTAGATCGTCAGCAAAGGTGAACAAGATTCATAGGGTTTAACCGTCAGGGCTGGAGTCCTGTGCATCCAACTCTCCTTCAGAGGTTAGGCAGGTGATAACTGGAAACCGGGTTCTTCTCAGTGGTGGCACCCTGTTTATGGAATGCCCTTATCTCAACCTGAAATCTGATTCTTCTTCACCTCTCTGCAAATCTGCGAAACGTTGTTGTTAATGCTGTGGCCTAGAAATCTGCTTTTCCTCTCTTTTGGATTTTGTAATGTCTGGTCTGATGAAGAATTCTGAGGAAGTCAAAAGCTTGTGTGTTGGGATGTGTCACTGGGTTGGCCCTAATTAAGGTATCCTGTAAACTGTGTTCTTAGATCTAGGAAGGACTAACATACTTTTATTTTATTTATTTATTGGGATTTTTACCCCGCCCTCCTCGCAAACGGGCTCAGGGCGGCATACAAGGGGCAAAGCCCATATAAAACAGGATAAAAGCAATACAAACATTAATAATGATTAATCACAAACAACAATGATACTCAATTGAAAGCAGGATGGTCCCCGAATATATGCAATGATGGTAAAAACAGTTATCTGGGGGTGATATTGTCCTATAGCTGATCCCAGATACGGTGCCAGATGAAAACTCCTTTCCCAAATTTTTAAACTTCGGTCTTGGTGTTGCGTTCACTTTTATTCAACTGCTTCTTTACCGTTTGTGTTTGATTGATTATGATGATTGATTATGATAATAATGGTCTTATTTTTTTAGAATTTTTATTGTATTTATTAATCTGCTATCACGTTGGGCTTTATTTTTACTTGTGAGCTGGAGATTTTAGATGCCAAAGCGGGGAATTCTGGGTTCTTTCAATCTAATCCTTCCTTCCTTCCCCCCAGATTTTTGGATCTACCCGGGGAAGAATGTTATTGGCCGGCTTGAAAGCTGTCAGATCTGCTTGCCCGCCTCTTCAGTTTCCAAGGCTCACGCTGTCATCGAGGTCCCCTCTCCTGATGGACCCCACCTCTTGTACGATCAGGAGAGCCTGAACCGGACCCGGCAGCAGCGTATGGTGCTGCTCCCGCACGTCCGGTACAGCCTTCAGGATGGGGACACCTTGCTCTTTGGAGATGTGGGATGCCAGTACTTCATCCTTGACCCAGAGGGGGCCCCTGAGTCCCCGGATGACTCTTTGGAGGTGTCACCCACCCAGCCAAGAACGGATGCCAATGCCCTGGTCATTGAGGAGACGCCTGTGCCAGGGAGGAAGATGGGCTTTGGGGGCCTCCTGGTCCAGGATTCAGACAAGGAGGAGGAAGGCGAGGCAGTGGTGAATGGGGCAGGCAAGATGCTGCATCTGCCAGTGGATGGTGGTGAGTGGGGAATTGCGAAAGGGGAGGTGATCGGTATTGGGCCTCTTGCAGTTTCAAACCCCAGGATGTTATTGTGGCTCAGTGGTACTCACTCCACGACAGGTGGAGAAGCCGCACTCACAATTACCATCAACCAAAAGAGTCACCTTTTCTTCCATGCCTGGCATAAGGCCAGCACCTGAGGGAGCTTTGCAGCTTACCTGTTCCTCTACCGGCGGCTTTTTCAAGGTGGGAACCACCTGCCAGCCATAAGCCTCACCAGGCAAGGTCTCTGCCTACTTTCCTGAAACACGGGGCAGGTGCCACATAGGGGAACAGTGTGCAGAAGAGCTGCAGGTGGCCCGTCATTGCTCGGTGGTGGCCCACTCATTTCCCAGTTGTAGGAACTGAAACTGAATATACTGCACTGCCCACTTTCAATGGGTTGAATTGGTTTTATTGCATTCATTTAAAATGGCTATTTTTTTTGTCTGCTTGACTTATTTCAAGATGGTATTCATTTATTGGCGCGAGCCACCCTAACTCCCGCTTGCGAAATAATAAGTAAGTAAGTAAATAAATAAATGAAGAGCCACAAGTGGCTTCCATGCTGCTGAGTTAAGGTCGCTGTTGTAGATCCTGTTACAATAGAAACGGAAGTACTGAGAATCGCACCACGTGTGCTGAGCTGCAGAATTTAACTCCCCGAAAATCATGGCTTTCCCCCTCTGGAGCCCCGTCCTTTATCGGCAGCTCACAGCTGGGTCTCATTGCTTGCGAGAGCGCTGTCCGTTAACTCCAGGTGCTCCTCTTGATCTGGCAGTCGCTGGGCAACAAGGCGTGCGCTCCGCCTCTTCTCGAGGAGCTCCAAGTTCGCCCGCCTCCTCCTGCATTCCCCTGGCTCCAGGGAAAGGGGAGGCAAGGCAGCCTGTGAAGTTTCCCCAAGATCTTGGGTTGTTGAGGCGCCACCTCTTGGGGTTGCCTCTTCCGTGTTCCCAGTGCTCACAGGGCGGCAACTGGGGCACTAGGACCTGCCTCCGCCATCTCAGGGTCGTTGGCAGCATCAGCTGGTTGAGTCTCAGAGGTGCTGAGGGGGCTGTTACCAGCATCAGCTGAGTGTTCTTCAGCTAAAGCAGGCTGGCCCAGGACAGGCTGATGTTGGTGGGAAGGGAGGAGGTTAAATCTCTTTGCAGCAGTGGCACCTTTAAAACCCGCAAAGATTTATTCTGGGTACAAGCTTTCGTGTGCATGCACACTCCTTCAGATATCTGCATGCACAAGAACGCGTGTACTTAGAATAAACCTTTGTTGGTCTTAAAGGTGCCACTGGACTCAAACTTTGTTCTGCTGCTTCAGACCAACACGGCTACCCCCCCCCCAAGCCGATTTTTATCTGTCTTTCTTACTAGGGTCTGATTCCTCGATCAAACATGGTGCCAGAGGACACAGCAGTTTGGCCTCCCCCGTGTTCTCTTTGCCCTCCACGACGGTTGTACCTGAAAGGTATGTTTTTGTTCTAATCGTTTGCTTGGGGGAGGGGGGGGTCTATGAGTCCGAACTGTGGTCTTTCCTGCAAAAGGAGTGTGTTAATGTGTGTGTGTGTGGAGAGAAGGATTGCAGCTATCCTTGCAGGAGCCGTAAACCCATCCGTGGTTTGTGGCCTTGATAGCTAGGAGTGAAACTTCCATGTTGAGGAGCAGTACACCTTTGCTGAGCTGGTGCTTGGGACGGTCAACAAAAGTGTTTTCCTGTGTGATGCTTGAGTCCAGTGGCACCTTAAGAACATAAGAGATGCCAATGTTGGATCAGGCCAAAGGCCCATCCAGTCCAACACTCTGTATCACACAGTGGCCAGAAATACCAGGTGCCATCAGGAGGTCCACCAGTGGGGCCAGGACATTAGAAGCCCTCCCACTGTTGACCCCCCCCCCCAAGCACCAAGATGACAGAGCATCACTTGCCCCAGAGCCCCTATCTATACCTTGTGGCTAATAGCCACTGATGGACCTCTGCTCCATATGCTTATCTAATTCCCTTTTGAAGACCTTGACGACCAACAAAGTTTAATTCTGGGTATAAGCTTTCCTGGGCGTGCACAGTTCTTCACATAACAAAAGCTTATACCCAGAATTAAACTTAGTTGGTCTTCAGGGTGCCGCTGGACTCAAACTTCCTTCAGGCCCACCCGCCGGAATCTGTTTTGGTGTGTGTGTGCCTTAACTGTACTGAGACAGATGGACTGGTGGTTTGATCCAGCTTCACAGTGAATATATTCTTGCATAGTAGTTGTTTAGACCTCTCAGATAGTCAAGTGTGTTGGAATCCACTCCCGGTCGACGTGTAGATCCCCGAGAGTAACTCGGAGTAGGTTTTCCTGGCAGAACAGAGGTGCAAGAAGAAAGGAGTGGGATGACTTGGGTGCTGTCTGGTTGGGATCTTGGGACAGTTCTGCTTGAGATGCTGGCTTTTCGGATTTCGGGATACTGCTGTTGTGGAGAATGTGTTCCTGCCTGTGTGCTTGCTTCTGCACTCCCCATCATGGCTGCTTCACCAGGACGTTTTTTGAACATTAATCACCTTCACGCTTTAAGTCTGCGGTGCTCAGTTCTCCAAAGTGAAGGACCATCAGCCCATCTACCTTAATGCCATCTATATTCTGCTGGCCTGGAGGGGGTCTCTGTGGAGGAGTTTCTCAGCCCCGCCATCCTGGCACTCTTTTAGTGGGAGGTGCTGGAAACGAAATCTGCACGCCAAGTGCTCTTTCCACCCCCCTAAACTAGATTCTGGCCATCTGAATGTTTGGGAGGGGCTTGTGTGGAAGCACTGCCTCCCTGAAACAGAATTTCAGTTCGTGTACCCCTTTAGCACCCTGCTGGTGGAACGTGCCGTGAGATCACAACCCCAGAGTCTTTTCAAGGCAAGAGACCTTCAGAGGTGGTTTGCCATTGCCTGGTTCTGCGTGGTGACCTTGAACTCTCTTTTGTGGCCTCCCATCCAAATACTGCAGGGCTGAGCCTGCTTAGCAGCCAAAATCTGATGAGATCAGGCCCTTGTGAGCCATCTCGGGCACTCGCTGTGCACCTGTGCTTTCCTAGAGTCAGAGTTGATTCTGGAATTCCCTTGGTAGCCTGTAATTGCCCCAGTGTGCCACTAGAGGGAGCTGGCTTACAAGGATCTCGTGTGCCTCCCCTGCAATCTTTAAAACTTTTTCTGCTTGTGGTTTGTGTCCCACAGTGATGAAGAAAGCGGGGAGCCCTCCGAAAGTGTCCCGTCCTGTCCCTCCTTGCGCCTGCGCTATGAGAGCGACGAGGCTGAGCTGCGTTCTGTGGCGAATGGCTCTGTTACCCCTCTGAACCAGGAAGCACTTCCTGTCCAGCCAGGAAGTCCAGAGGAGAAAGTTTCTCCAGACTCCAGAGGACAACCGGTAGCTAAAGACCAGGGTGCCCCTACAGATCCCAGCCTCGTGGACTTCCACCTGGACAGTGATACAGATCTGGAAGACGAAGACGGAGTGGGGACCACTACCACTTCTGAAAGACCCGCAGTGAAGGACAACCTTGTCCTGGAACTGGGCAGCGACACGGACACGGAGGAACCCCCAGTGGTGAATCCGGGTGTTGGTTCTGCCCACAGCGGACAGGTAGCAAGTGATATTGACAGTGATACAGACATAGAGGAGGCAGAGGAGAAGCCAAGCGTTTTGGGCTTCAAGGCCCACCGAGTCACCGATAACGGGGCCAGTGACACAGATGCGGAGGGAGCCGGGGACAAGGCAGGTGCTGAAAGTGGGGAGTCCAGCCTCCGCCGCGAGGGCAGCTGCAAAGGCCAGGAAAGAGCGGACGGCGATCCACAAGGCCGTCGGCCTCACGAGGAAGCGGACAGTGACACAGATGTGGAAGCCGCAGAGAGTCCGGATGCGTGCTCCAAGTCACAGCCGCCTGCAGACAATGAGGACGACACAGATGTGGACGAGCCGTCCCTCGGGGCAGGGAATCGAGAAGGGGCTCTGAAGGATCGCGAGGCTTCTCGGAACAGTGATACAGATGTGGAGGTGGATGAGCCGGAGAGGTTAGGCGGGATCCGTCCCCGCAGCCCCCAGCCGACGAGGAATAAAGAGAGCGATGCAGATGTGGAGGCGCCCAAGGGGGCGGGGCTGCAGCATAACGGTGATCTGGCTGAAGACGCACGGGAAATAAAGAAGGCTGATGTTGAACCCCCAAAGGGTTACGGAGCTGCCGGTGAGCAGTCCACGTGCTTGGACGAGAGGGAACCCGTTTCAGATGCCAGGATTGTAGAGCAGCTGCCCTCCACGCCTCAAAACCAACACCTGCTTGCTATTTCCGTGGACAGCGATACGGATGTGGAGGAAGCCGCCGAGAATCCAGATGAGAGCTCAAAGGAAACTCGCGGCGTCACCAGCCGGGGCCCTGGTGGGGGAAGTGGAGGCAGCCACTCTGGGGACGATGAGGACAGCGATACGGACGTGGAAGTGGCTTCTCCATCCCCCAAGGTCCTTGCGGCTCACGATGGCGATACGGATGTGGAAGTGGAGGATTTGGCATCGCCGAGGAAACCCTTGGAAGAGCAAGATACTCAGCTGGTGCCCATGAGACCCTCCCGGGACGGGGGGGAATCGGCTAGCTCTGCAACGGGACTGAGGGTCTCTCGTGATCCTCGCAAAGAGGATGACGATACTGATGCTGAAGGAGATGAGTCCCGCGTGGGAGACGAGAGCAACACCGATGACGAAGGTAAAAATAGAAAGGGTGGTGGACTTCCTCTGTTTCCTCTACTGGAGGATCTTCTAAGCCAAGGATCTTAGATGACTGTTTACAGTTCAGATCCTGTGATCTGGCTGGGCAGACAAGATCCGTGTTGTGAGTGCAGGGTGGAGGCTGGACTCAGATCCGGGGGCTCTGGGTTCAGATTCCTCCTCTTGCCATAGAGCTTGCTGGGTGGCCTTGGGACAGTCACTTTCTCTCGTTCCACCTTAGTGGTGGAACTTCAGCTGACTTATGGCGGACCCTGTAGGGGTTCCAAGGCAAGAGGCATCCAGAGGGGGTTTGCCTTTGCCTGCCTCCACGTCATGACCCTGGGATTCCTCGGAGGTCTCCCATCCGGGTACTGGCCAGGGTGGACCCTGCTTAGCTTCTGAGACCTGACGAGATCGGGCTAGCCTGGGCTAGCCAGGGCTAGCCAGGTCAAGGCCTCTTTCCGCCTTAACCATGAAAGGATGGTCGTGAGGGTTCTGTGAGGAAAGTAGAGTGACGTTCGCCACTCTGAACTCCTCGGAAGAAGGGTGGGGTACCAATACGCTAGACAGAAAGGGTTGCATTGTAGCAGAGATACGTATCAAGGATGTTGTGCCAACCGGGCTACTGAGAACTGTGTAACAGAGATGCCTGGGCAGTACTCTGTTCTGTGACGGCATCATGCAAAGGCTTCGCAGGGTAGGTGCTTTTCAGAGGTTGGCGGCAGTGTGGGAGCAATGCATCCTGGGATACATGGGTCCTTTGTTTCTTCCGTCTCACTTTCTTCCAGATGATTCCGACCTGGCTGTCCAGGCAACCCAGTGCTACCTGCCCATCAAGACCTCCTCCCCCAAGGATGAAAAAGCTAGAGACATTGCAGCGGCGGGTAAGGAACTTCACAGGCCTCCCTGAGTCCTCCGGAAGAGGACGCCTGAAATCTGAAGGACTCAAATTTGGCCGAAGAGCATAGGGTTGAAATGTGTCAGGATGAGGGAGTGAGCCTTGGGGGAACCATGGTGTTCTCCTGTGGGGGTAGCCGTCTGTAAAGCGCTAACTTAGTGGCGCTGTCCTTTTGTCGCTGTGTCATGGAGCAAGGGAGCCTTGCTGAGGAAAAGTAATACTTTTTTTTTTAGGGTATTAGGGGAGCACACAGCCTTGACAGAAGAAATTAAGCACAAAGGTAAAAGAATTCGGGATGGGGTGTGTGTGTTAGGAAATAAATAAATACCCAAAATGATAGGATGGTTAAACGTCTCAAAATGAAGCAGGCAAGAGGAAGAGAAAGGGTCTTGGAGTGAGAGAGGGGGGATTGTGGGTGATACCTCGTGCTGCAGCAGGAGTTGGGATGAAACACTCTTCAGTCCATTCACTTCTTTCTCCCCTCAAATTTTCTTTTTAAATTGGGGAAAAACCCCTCTCCTGCTCTCGGAACCGGGTCAGGCTAATGCGGGGTCCCCCTTTCCTGTCTCTCCCTTGCAGACGCCAGATGTGCCCTTGAAGAGGAGGCTACGCAGGCGTTTGTCTTTCGCTCCTCTTCGGGTTTCCAGCCTGAAAAAAGTGAGTGAGTTTGGCTTTGTCAAGGCAACTCCTTCCCCCTAGGTTGTTTGATCGTTAGAGCTCACTTGGTGGCGGGGAGGGCCGGTTCTGCAGGAAAGAGGGGCCGACTGACGTCGGTTTGGCGGAGGAAGGTGCGACTTGTATTTTTGAACCGTTCCACATTTTTGATTCTGCTAATCCGGAGGTGGCCATTTTAGGCTCCCACTGGAATGACCTCCAGTCTCTAATTTGTACACCTCTTTCACATTGGATCTACCTGCAGACTCCTTGTTGGCCTGATCTCTGTCTCTCTACTACTTAGGAGATTAGAGAAAGCACCAGTGTAGGCCCCTGATACTCACTGGGGTGGGGGTGGGGGTTTCCCTTAAACCCCTACTTCTTGCTGGGCCTGTACCCAACCGTGACTCCCAGGGCTCTGCCTCCGCCTCCTGTAGGCCCGGTGTGGCTCCCAAGCTGTGTCACCAGTGGCAGCATACCCAGCATGGCTCCCGGGCTGCGGTGGTATGCCTGGTATGTCTCCTGGGCTGTGGTGGGGGTGGGGGCACGCCTGGAGCATCTCCTGGGCTGTCCTGGCAGCAGCATGTCTGGCATGGCTCCCGCCTGACCCAGCATCATGGAACCTCGGCCTGCGCAGCCACCGCTGCCGGACACGGCAGGGCTCCCTCATGCCACCGCTGCCAAAGGTAAGTGGGCAGAGAATGCTACTTTACTTTTCAGGGGATTTAATCCCCCCCCCCCTTGGTTTTTTTTTTTTTTTAACTTTTCAGATTTTTCTGCCAACCTGGGGAGTGCCCTGAGTTTGCTGGAAAAAAATCTCTTTCGGATCCACGTGGCCCCGATCCGCAGTTTTTGCTATCCACAGATGGGGGCCACACGTGGCGTAATCATATACAGATGACTAAACTTCTGTGATGTGGGTGTTCCGTCAAAATTAGAATAGAAAAAATTTCCAGGGAACTATGCAGCTTCTTAAATAGGGAGCAGTCTATTCATTTTGACTTCTGTTTCCAGTAAACAAACATTAAAAGTTAACCAATGTTTGAACTGAAGTATTTGAGGGGGGAGGATCAAATTAGGAGTGGTTTAAACGTTACATTCAAAACTCTGTGTGGAAATTTTTTTTTTTTAAATGGAACACTACTTGTACAAGGGAAAAGGTGTTAATGTGTGAGTTAACAAAAACCCAGCCACCCTTCCCCCGCAGAACCAGCGTAACTGATTAAAATGGCTGTATAAAACCAACCCAGAGATTTAAAAACAATCCCCTTTGTATGATGCTGCATGCAGGGCCATCTAATTGGTTTAGCCTCGGAGGGGGGACATAGGCCAGACTTCTAAAGTTTTTTTTAAAAAAACATTGTATTTATTGGGTTTTCCATTATCATATAATAACACAACTTAACAAACTCCAAAATGGTGAACTTAAACAACATGTAGTTCCCTGGAGAAGGAAATGGCAACCCAACTTCAGAGGACGGCGGAAGACAGGAGGGCCTGGCGGGAGATGGTCCATGGAGTCGCAAAGAGTTGGACTCGACTGTGCGACTGAACAACAACAACAAGTTCTCATACACCTAGTTTTAGTTTCTGATATTATACAATTCTATTATCACTTTTATCTCAAGCTTTGTCCTGTTATGACTAGCCTAATTTCCATTAATTTCTATCTTCTTTATCTTCATCCAGTGATATATTATTCCCCATCTTTCCCAATAATTTTCTTCCGGCCTACAGGCTTCTAAAGTTATGCCTGGGGTAGAGCGAGTGGACAGAGAGACTGTTTTCTCCTTCTCCCAAAATTCTACAACTTGGGGGCATCCAGTGAAAGCCGATGGGCAGTAGATTCAGGATGGACAAAAGGAAATACTTCTTTACACAGAGAGTGATTAAAATTTGGGGTTCGCTGCCAGAGGATGTAGTGATGGACACAGGAATAAACATCTTTAAAAGGGGATTAGAGAGGTTCATGGAGGATAGGTCTATCAGTGGCTACTAGCCATGGTGTCTGAGGGGAACCTCCACATTCAGAGGCACTAGTCCTCTGAATCCCAGAGCCAGGAGGCAACATCAGGGGATGGCCTCGGCCTCTATGCCCTGTGGTTGGCCCTCCAGAGGAACCGGTTGGCCGCTGTGCGAGACAGGATGCTGGACTAGATGGACTGTTGGTCCGATCCAGCAGGCGCTTATGTTCTTAAGACCCTTGGACTTTGGGAAGGGGCCATGGCTGAGTGGTAGAGCATCTGCTTGGCACGCAAAAGGTCTCAGGTTCAATCCCTGGCATCTCCAGTTCAAAGGGTCAGATAGGAAGTGATGTGAAAGCTCTCAGTCTGAGACTCTGGAGTTCCATTGCTAGTATGAGTAGACCTGGGTCAACTAATGGGCTGACTCACTGTGAGGCAGCTTCCCGTGTTCATATTCCTTCTCTGCTTGTAGCCTACAGCTCTCCCTTGAAAGAGGACGATCCAGATGCTTACATGCTAGAAGCCACTCAACCCTTCTGCAAAGGACCAGCTACGCTTTCAGAGGAGCCTACACAGGCCTTCATTGCCGAAGAAGAGGAAGAGGCAGAACTGATCGCCCAGCAGCCCCTCGAAGGGGAGCACCTCTCTGAACGGGCCACACAGCCTTTTCCAATACCAGCCGTTAGGGGTCAGCAGGACTCCGGCGTCGCAGAAGACGCAACCCGGCTCCGCTCCACAGAAGTGTCTGGTCCTGAGGCTGGTCCACAACCAGCAGATGGCGCTCCTGCAGAGGAACCCCACCAGGAAGAGGGAATTCAAAGGGTCCCTTCAGTGCAAGTTCCCGATTCTGCAGGCAGCCAACCCTCGGCACTGCCAGTGGTGGAGAAGGCTTCTGGGAGTGAGGAGCAGGCGTGTGTGGCGTCCCCTGAAGGCGGAGTCGCTGTTGAACCATCACAGCCCCGGGGAGGGGAAGGTGAGCATTAGGGATGCCCTGGGGGGTAGGGAGACCGTGTTGCTCTCTCTAATGTGAGCACATATGTCAATGGAAGTGCCTTTTGGCCCCGAGAGACAGAGCCGTGCATCCTTTTGCAAGCATCCGCTGTCCACCTATTTAGGGGGACTCGTCGTCCCTGCTTAATTTACCCCCGATTGCATCAGTGTCCTGCCCTAAGAGCCAGGAGGGCAGCGCAGTTATTGCTGTGAGCTCCTCAGAGGAAAAGCACTTTTGAAAAAAATACAGACATAGGCTGCAGAGGGAGAATATCTCAGGTATCGGATGCCCCATGTACCCACCAATTCCACAGCAGGCGTGCTGAGTCACAAGTTGATCTGTGCAGTCCATTGTCAAAAGCTGGCCCAGGTGATTGGAGGGACCAGTGGGAATGGGCTCTGAATAAGAAGACGAGAAGTCAATGTTGGATCAGGCCAGTGACTCATCCAGTCCAGCACTCTGCGTCACACAGTGGCCAAAACCCAGGTGCCATCAGGAGGTCCACCAGCGGGGCCAGAACTCCAGAAGCCCTCCCACTGTTGCCCCCAGGCACCAAGAATACAGAGCATCACTGCCCCAGACAGAGTGTTCCCCCCATACCTTGGGGCTAATAGCCACTGATGGACGTCTGCTCCAGATGTTTATCCAGTCTTCTCTTGAAGCTCTTTGTCCTTGTAGCTGCCACCTCTTCCTGCGGTAGTGAATTCTACATGTTAAGTACTCTTTGGGTGAAGGGATTCATGTGTAGAAGTCCTACCCGATCACACTGCTTTTGTTTTCTTAGTGGATATGATTTTTCATACTCTCTGTCCCTGTGTCACAGCAGCACAGGAATCTTCCAACGAGCTCCATCTTGAAGGTGCCGTTGCCAGCATGCCATCACAGTCCCCCCAGACTTCTAGTATAAAAGAAAGTCGGAAGCCTAGGAGGGGTCTGGCCAGATAGGCCCTCGTTTGAGTTGCGTGTGGGTGGGTGGGGTCATGGACTGGGAGGAAGCATAGTTACCTGCAATGTTCCCTCTAAGCTGTGGAGTCCCGTGAGCAAAAACTCTCCTTAGTGAGCTACTGGCATTCAAGCTGTGAGCGAGCGATTCAGCTGCTGCATAGAAAAGTAGTTTGCTCTGGAGCCGTCCTTCCTGGGCGAAGATAAAAACGTGTGAGCCAGAGGCTAAAAAACTGTGAGCTGGCTCGCACGAACTCAGGTTAGAGGGAACACTTGTTACCTGAGAGTTATCCTTGGGTATATCCCTTTCCCCCCCCATAAAAGAATCTTTGCCATTCACCTCTGCGTAAAGTATCCTTACTGGAACTCCTGTAGAATGATTCCCCACACACACACACATACACACCGTGGTCCCTGCAGTCTATAAACACTTTCTGTGAGGGGCATTTTGCTGGGTCTATTTATTTATTTATTAAATTTGATTTGCTAGGCCGCCCTTCCCTACAGGTAGGGCTCCGGGCGGCTTACAACAGTATTATATAGTCACATACGACGGCATTAAGAACAGTCCAATAAGTAACAATAAATAAAAGCAGTATATATACAATACTTAAAATGGCGGACAATCCTAACTCCCCGGCCTCCCTGGGGGGAGGGGCTGTGAGGAATGAGGAGCCACATGAGAGTGCCGGAAGAAGTCCCGTTGCTGTCCTCAGCCAAAAGCCTGGCGGAAGATCTCTGCCTTACATGCCCTGCGGAAAGGTAGCAATTCCTGCAGGGCGTTCCACCAGGACAGCCGACCCTCTCTCGGGCTGCATGCATAAAGATCCGTTTCCTGAGGTCCCGTCACATGCTTTATGATGAGTGAGATGGTCGGTCCTTCTAGATTTGCTGGGTCCAATCTGCTGGTAGACCTGAGGCAACTTTCCATGTTCACTGACCAGGGATTGTGAAAAGATACAGGCCCTTAGTCCGTATACCCCTTGCCTGTTGTAATGCCGGGTATTTTGCCAGTTTATTGAGAGCTTGCAAAAGTCCGGGAGGACCAACTCCATGGGATGTTTTGTGGGGGTTTTTTTGTAAAAAAGGATTAGATTTAGAGATAACTGTGGGGTTTTTGGAATCAAGGTCTGTTTCTTGAACCACCATGGGGCATATGTGGGTTGGTGGAGGTCTTTCGTTCCTTGTGGGCTTCTGTTACCCAACACAGGAGTCAAGAACATAAAAGTCCTGCTGGATCAGACCAGTGGTCCATCTAGTCCAGCATCCTGTTTCACACAGGGGCCAGCCACTTCCTCTGGATGGCCAACAGCAAGGCGTAGAGGCCAAGACCTTCCTTGATGTTCCTTCCCGGCACTGACGTTTGGTTTACTGCCTCTGAATGCAGGAGGTTCCCTTTGGTCAATGTCATTCACCTTACGCTGTTTGCTTCTTGTAGGCGGTGTTGAAAGTGGGCCGGAAGAAAGGCGCTCCGAGCTGGTGGGAGAAGCAAAGGGTGCTGAGCAGGTGAGCACGGGGTGGTCTCTTGCCTTGCATGAATAGGTGCTGCTGCTTTGAGTTGGGCGGGCATCCTGCCTCCAGGCCCAGCCCGATAGGCCTTGTCCCTCTCCTGTTGCAGCCGCCACAGCGGGCCACGGACGAGCCCTCCAAACCAGCGGTTCTGGTCTCCGAGCGGCGACGCAGCCTGCGGTCCTCTGCTGCCTCCTCCCCATCTCCCCTGCCAGAAGGACGCCGCAGCTGTCGCGGTAACCGGGTGGGATCCACAGCCCCCGGCAGCTCCGGTGAGCCAGTGGCTGTCCCGGCCACACGTAGGGGGTTGCGGCGGCTCAGGAATCCCACACAGTACATGGTGGAGCCAGAGAGGAAGGTGGAAGGACCCAAGGCAGAGGAGGCGAGCCTCGGCAAGACACCCGGCAAGGGGGAACCGGTGGGTCAGGGCAGACCCAGGCGCTCGCAGCGGAGATCCAACCCTGCCCCTAAGCCCAAGGAAGAAACGGCGACCGCGGCCAGCAGCCCAGGGACCAAGGAGCCCACGAGGCCCAGGAAACGGAGAGCAGCTGTCGCCGCCCCCGAGTCTGTGGAAGAAGAGCAGCCAGAACTCCGTAGGACTCGGTCCGGCAGGCGGTCCGGGGGTGCTTCAGTGATGACACCGAGCCCAAAGGATTCTGGGAAAGGCACCAAAGTCGGGCAGGTGTGTAACACGCTGTGCAAGTCGAGGCGGGACCAGTGTGTGTGGTGCAAGGGGGCAAATGCCTGTTGATCCACCACGGAGTCCGCCTCATTCTCATTGTGTTGTGGTCGCTTGGTCTGCTTCCCCAGCCGTTCTGTTACCTTACCTGCGGTGTGCCTGCACACGAGAGCTCATACCCAGGATTAAGCTTTGTTGGCCTCAAAGGGGCCGCTGGACTCAGACTTTGTTCTAGCATTTTGCCACGAGTCTTCCAGCACTTGGCGTGCACCTGAGCTGCTGCTATTCATGTTTCTGTCCTACTTTTCTTCATGGGACTGAGGGTGGCATACGTAGGATTTCCAGGAGGTTCTCACCCAGGCCCACTCCTGCTTAGCTACAGCAAGGTTGATGCCTCATGGGCCTTCCAACCACACCTTGCTATTTCTTTTGTTATTCCCTCCCCCTTTCCCCAGGAGCCTGCACTGTCCACTCCATCTTCAGGGAGGAGGTCGCGGCGGCAGAGTACGGAAAGCAAGCCAGCGGGAACAGCCCGGAACCGATCCCATAGTTCGGCAGCCTCCGCCGTGCCTGCGCCAAAGGTATCTCATGTATGGAGGCAGAGGCTGGAACTGGTGGAGGGGGTGCTTGGGCGATGCTGGCTATGAAATCTGGGGGAGGGGCCCTGGGGTGAGGAACCCATCGTGAGCCCCCTCGACTTAGAATGGGGACAGAGTGCAAATGAAGAACCCGCGTTTTGCGGCCGCAGACCTTCTTGGGTTCTCCGTGCATAGTGAGAACGGTAGCATAGCTGGAGCCCTTGGATAGATTGGGGCCCTGGTAAATGCCTAATTTCCCACTGTCTGGAACCGGCCCTGAACTGGAAGCTGTCATGGTGGGATTGGCCACACCAGCAGTGGGTCAGATAGGGTTGTGGGGACCTGAAGAAGAAGGAAGAGTTTGGATTTATACCCCGCCCTTCACTACCCAAAGGGGTCTCAGAGCGGTTTATAATCTCCTTTCCCCCCTCCCCACAAAAAACCCCTTGTGAACAATGCTCCCTCTAAGCTGTGGAGTCTTGTGAGCAAAAATTCTGCTTTGTGAGCTACTAGCACCAGTGTTCTCTCTCTGAGTTAGTGTGAGCTAGCTCACAGTTTTTTAGCCTCCAACTCACACATTTTTGTCTCAGCTCAGGAAGGAGGGCTCCAGAGCAAACTAATTTATGCAGTAGCCAAATGGCTCGTTCACAACTTTAACGCCAGTAGCTCACAAAGTAGAATTTTTGCTCCACAGCTTAGAGGGAACATTGACTGGCACTAAAGTTGTGAGCGAGCAATTTGGCTGCTGCATAAATTAGTGTGCTCTGGAGCCATCCTTCCTGAGCTGGGGAAAAAATGTGTTTAGAGTCCGCCCCTCTTAACTAGTAGACCACACTGGCTCTCAGACCAAATTGGTCTGATCCACCGGGGCTCTCTCTGTTAGGTCCTTGTCCAGATGTTGGGAAATAACCATCTCTTTGCCCTTCCCGTCATCCCAGCCTGACAGGAAGAGAAAGAACTGCTGCTTCGTTGGAATGGTAGTTTCCCCATATGTGGTGGTAGCCCTTTAGAGAGAGAGACGGCCCCGTTTCTTTCCAAACGCCTGTGTTTGGATAAGTACCCCAGTTCCTAGATCTTTGCACGCGTGCAACGGCGATGAGAGGGGCACCCCAGATCTCCGCATCCTTACTGGATCGGGGCCTGTGAGGATGGGGACAGAAACAACAGGGCAGCGACTTCAGAGCGGGACATGAAACACTCCGTAGAACGATTAGGCAAGTGGCTCTGCGGGAAGGCTCGATGCCTTCGTTCCCTGAACAACTTCCTTTTTCTTCCTGCTGCCCCTCCTCCCCGTGCAGGTGCTGTTCACGGGGGTGATCGACGAGGAGGGGGAACACGTGGTCACGGAGCTGGGGGGCTCTTTGGCGGAGTCCGTCTTCGATTGCACCCACCTCGTGACGGACCGCGTGCGCCGCACAGTCAAGTTCCTGTGTGCCCTGGCTCGAGGCATTCCCATTGTCACCCTTGATTGGCTGGAGAAGGTGAGCTCCTCCCCCCTGCACACACACCCCTGCAGTCCACTGGAGCTGGGGGGAGGGACTCCCCTCCTGCTTTCTTAGGGACCGGTCCAGTCTCCAGACAGCGATCCCGGAGCTAGAAGTGTTTGTGTCGCCACCCAGCCCAATCTTTTCATATTTGGCCAGTCTTTATAGCAGTCTTCCCAGGCAGTGTATGCGAATAGGCTGAAAGGCCATCTTATTCTTATTCCTTTTTTGGGGGGCAATCATATTATCTCTGCTGTTCTGTTTGTTGCTTTCAGTGAAGTCATTGTGGTGATGGGTGTTTTCTTGGACATAGCTGGAAAAAATGGGGTCTGATTTTTTAATGAATAAATTGCCTGCATATTTCAAGAAATGATTGCTTAATAGCTGTTCTGAGCCCAGAGCACCCATTGACAGAGGAGGCTGCACACCGCTGCTCTGTATGATATACTGTTCTGGCCTTGCCTCCTTTCTTTCATCCTATTGTGTGTGTGTGTGGGGTGTAATTCTGTTTGGCCTCTGTATCAGATGCGATTGGATAATTTGTGTCCAGTTATCCTCTTTTGGAGGCTGCCTACAATGTCTCTGCATGAGTTGCTGCTGTGGTCTTCCTCCTTTCCAAATAGGAGTCACACTCATAATAGTGACTGATGGGGGGGGGGGGGGGGCTAATCTGAAGCAGTTGGGGTACAAGCGAAAGGTGCCTCCAGATTAAATTCACTTAAAAATGTCTCTGCTACTAGAAGCCTGGAAAACCGCTCTGCGACAGTGCTGGCATCACCCACAAGCAGGGTCCCAAAGCGACTGAGTTATGGGCTTGGCAGAATGATCAGAGCACTGTGCAGAGGACCCAAAGACAGAGAGAACATTGATGTGGCGAATTTCTCTCTTGAAACTCTGAAGATAATTTTCTTTTGAGTGATGCAGCCCACGGAGTGAAAATTGACAGGCCCTTATATCCCCAAAATCTCCTTCATCTCTTAAGAGCTACTGGACTCAAATCTAGCTGATGTTATCAGTTTATAGCTGTAGTTAGTTCATGATACCCAGCCAAATGGTGATTGGGAGCCTGTCTGGTGTAGTGGTTAAGAGCGGCGGACTCTAATCTGGGGGACCGGGTTTGATTCCCTACTCCTCCTCCGCATGAAGCCTGCTGGGTGATCAGGGCTGGCCCTAGCTTATTTTGCACCCTAGGCAGGATCCCTTCTGGCGCTCCCCCCATGCGCTGCCCCCCCTGCAATGCCAGTAGCTCCCGCCAGCAATGGAGTTGGGCGCCGTCACTGCAGAGGACGAGGAGGAGTGGCAGCAGGAAGGAGGGCGCCTCCTGCACCATCCAGCCCAGGTGGGCTGGTGCCAAGCCGCCCAGCAGTGCCGACGAGTAGCGCCCGTAGGGCACGCGGAAGGTGCGCACCAGCACCGCCGCGCAGCCCGCCAGCCCGTAGCTCAGCAGCTCCAGCACCCGCTCCTCCTCGCACACACCTGCTTCTTCCCCCGACATTCAGGAGGCCCGCAGCTCGGGGAGACGTGCCGTTCGGGGCTGCCCCTCCGCTCCTCCAGGCCAGACCAGATCCCAGTCCGGCCGGCCTTTGCCTCCCTCCCCCACTCCGGCACTCTCTCACCCAAATACCGCCAGCCCGCGATGTCCCCGGCTTGAAGTGGGTCACTGATCCCCCTTCTGCAGGTACCAAGCACGCTCGCAGTTTCCTGAGTCCTTTCCGGGCTACTCCTTGCACCTCGCCGAAGCCCGGTCCTGGGAAGGATCCGTGCCCCCCCCCATTGGGTCGCGCTGCCTGGTTGAGTGCTGGCACCAAGGAGGACCCTGGCGGGGAGAGAGCACCACCCTGTTCCCTCGCCACCAGAAGGCTGACCACACTAGCCTGCTCAGCACCACCAGCGGCGGCAACTCCATCGCTGCCCGTGAACCTGTCGCGGGCCCAGACCACGAGGCGAACCTAACCCCGCTGCCGCCTGGGTCCGTCTGGTGCCGCCTCCAAGCCCCAAGGTAGGCGGGCGGCAGTGCCACCACCTCGGGCTTGGGCGGCTTCCTCCGGCAGTGGTCAGCGGTCACCTGGTCAGGGAGAGGACTTTTGGCGGGGGGAGGGTGGGTGCCGTTTGGCGCCCCTAAGGGCCGGCACGCTCTAGGCGAATGCCGGCCATGTGGGTGACCTTGGGCCAGTCACAGTTCCCTCAGAGCTCTCTCAGCCCCACCTGCCTCGCAGGGTGTCTGTTGTGGGGAGAAGGGAAAGGCAATTGGAAGCTGCTTTGAGAGTCTTTAAGGTAGAGAAAAGTGGGGTATAAAAACCAACTCTCCTCCTATTAAGAACAGGAGAATTTTCACATCTTACGGTCTCCTTTCTGCTTCTTTTCCTTGTTTCTCTCCCCCCCCCCCTTCCCTCACAGAGCAAGCGAAACTCTTTCTTCCTGGCACCAAACACCTTCCTTGTTCGTGACCCAGAGCAGGAGAAGAACTTCCAGTTCAGCCTCACCGAGTCCTTGAAGAAGGCCCGGCAAAAGGGAGGCCTGCTTCAGGTGAGGCCATAACAAAGACACCCTCTCTCAGAATCACCAAGCCTGGTTGCCTGAAAGAAAAAAAATGTCCTGCCTGTATCTTCTTCTGCTGTGGAAGTGAGACTCTGCACCTGTTGGGTTCCCCCCTGCCATGTGGCTATTAAAGGCACAGAAACTCTGTTAGGAAAGGATCGCTTAGAAGTGGAAGACCCCCGAGCAGCTGACTCAGTCTCACTTCTGAATCTGTAGACTTCATAATAATTAAAGGGGGGGGGGGTCAGATTTGTCAGTCAGATGAGTGTCAGATTTGTTGCAGATTCCCAAAATGTTGCGAGAGGTGGGGTTCGCTACTGGTGCTCTCCTCTCTCGGGGGCCAGAGTAACAGGCCTACAAGGAACGCCAAATTAGGACTAAGAGCAGCAAGTTGTTTCATCCTGTTCCTGCTAAGGGTTGGCTGCCCCCTGCTGGCCATGCAGTGGACTGGTCTCTTTGCCTTTCAGGGCTACGAACTCCACGTCACTCCTAACGTCAAGCCGGAACCTGAGCACATGAGAGACATCATCAAATGCAGTGGGGGGACCTTCCTACCCAGAATGCCTCGAGCCTACAAGGTACGTGGGAGGGCGGTGCACACTGCAGGCCCTCTCACATTAGCAGAAACAGTCAATTGGAAGGAGGATGTGGGGGGATGGGTGAGCGAGGTTACGTGTTGACTGACTACCATTTAACCCCTTAAAAGGACAAACGTGTCATCATCTCATGCCCCGAGGACCTGCCCCGGTGCAAACTAGCACAGGACGCCGGGGTCCCCGTCGCCAACGCGGAGTTCATCCTGATGGGCATACTGCAGCAGAAGGTTGACCTGGACGCCCACCGCCTGGACAGAGTGGGTTCCCCCTCCCTAGCCAGTTCTTCCGCTTCCACAAGAAGAGCCAGCAAGAGGAGAGCTGCGGCACCCACTGCCCCAGCGCCACCCAGCACAGCAAAGAGACGACGTTGATGCTGCAACGTGGAGTCACTGCCTTAAATTTGTAAATAGCATTTTTTTTATGACTGTCAATAAATGCTGGGTAAAAAAACAGCCATTTGTGAGCAGGTTATTGGGGAAGGGATTGTCTCATGAGGTTTTGTTTTTTTTAAATGTTACAATCTGAACTAGTACCTGGCTGTCAGTCAGTCTTGTTCTGCAGATGATTTCATTTTGGCAGAAGATTTAACTGTCTCGGTGCTGACGCCTCTTCTGTCTTACAGTTTAATAAACAAAAGCTACCAGTTTTGTTTTAAAGGAAAGCCATCTTTTATAGGGATCTTGGTCATTCCTTCTTACAGAAACACACCAGAAGCAAGATGGCCTCAGAATGAAGCAAACATGCCTTCACCAGATACTGGGGCCGAGGGGCTGTGCCACAATCGTGGAAGGTAAAATAAGAGACCCTCCTAGCTTGTAAGGTAAAACAGCATATAGAAAAAAGCCAGGGGAACGCTGTATCTCATAGAATATGCAAAAGTTTACGTGAAATAGATGAAAATACAAATATAACAAGAAAGTACAGCAATATATAAATGCAAACAGTGCAACAGGTAGCCAAATAACAAAGGCTCCGGATTCTTCTCTTTGTTTTGTGAATGTCACTTCATCAGAAGTAAGTATTCTTGACTACAAAGTAGAATACAGCATAATTTATATTCTATAACATATATCCTAAACAATGTATAAAGCTAATGTGAATTGGACCCTGAGAGACCAATGATAAAATATTATATACCACAATCTTGTTGTTCTTATTTCTATCATAATGAAACATTGGAATGTTGTTAGCAACATACCAGGCTGTGAAAATAGACCATGTATAGGAAAACCAAGAGTGCAAGAGATTATCTTATTAAAACAGATGTTTCCCCATGAAGCTACACCTGGAAACTATTGTTGTGGCAAGTGTTCTGTATGTCCATTAGTTTGGGAAACTGATAGGGTGGACTTTCCAGAATTAAAGGTACATATACAATTAAAACAATTCACCAACTGTGCAACAAAAAAACCCGTATCTTTTAAAATGTCCATGTCCAAGGTATTATGTAGGCGTCTCCACAAGAGCAATTAGAACACGTATTGTGGAACATAGGTCTCGCATCCGTCAACAAAATGTGGATTGCCCCTTGGTTTCCCACTTCCTTGAGCACCAACATGATTGCAACAGCTTTACTTTTGTTGTTTTGGAAGTCTTTAATAATGACCCTTTTAACATAATGGATACTAAAAAAATGCTACTTAGACGTGAAGCATACTGGATACACAAACTGCATACCATTAGTCCCTATGGTCTAAAGAATGAAATAGATTTCTCTTGCTTTTTGTAATTAGCAGGTGTCACTTTAAAATAAGCCTCTATAAAACCAGTGAGGTCTCTGTGTATTTTAAGGCATTCTAGCATGGAGAAGCAGTGGCTATGTTTGACTAGTGCCCGATGAGATTTTTGATGACTATTTGATCATTATAAAATGTTGTACTGTTTTTTAAGGTTATTTCCATACATTAATGTTTTAATATTGTTACAGATTTGTAAAATTTATTTTTCTACATCATGAAAAGAAATAAGGACAACAAGATTATGGTATATAATATTTTATCATTGGTTTCTCAGAGTCCAGTTCACATTAGCTTTATACATTGTTTAGGATATACAATTATTTCACGTAAACTGTTGCTTATTCTATAAGATATAGCGTTTCCCTGCCTTTTTTCTATATGCTGTTTTACAATTATGGAAGATGCCACCTCAGATCTCATCTCTCCATGAACTCACCATGTTCTCTTAGCACATGTAATACTGGGATCATAACGTTGTTCTACCTTAAGGTGTTGTGAAGATACTGTGAAATGCTATGTATGCTGCAAAGTATACTAATAAGAGGTATTACCAACTTGCAGCTCCTCCAACAACTTAAAAATGTGATTTCCTATATCAAAATTGGGATATATAGAAAAACAACGATGTTTAGTTTACCTGATCTAGCACAAATGAGTCAGAATGTAATTAAACTGCCCTACTGTTCAAACTGGAGTTTAAAATCAACAACACCCAACTTGATGTTTGCTTTATTTGTACAAGTGGCAAGTCAGGGGAAACAGTAGGGTGGGGAGGGACTGTACAACAATCCTAAGACCTTGGCCAAAGATTTCTGTCTCTGGCCAAGACCCCATTGAACAATGGCATGTATGCACCTTCTCTCATGTTCTTATAATGAAGTTAATGAGCAGTAAGCTTAGAACAGATAAAGGAAGTACTTCTTCACCCAAAGAGTAATTAACACGTGGAATCACTGCTGCAAGATGTTGTGGTGCCAAAGACAATAAGGAACCGTTAGCGTACAAGTATAGCCACAAGTAACACCCACCAAGGGAAGACCATCCACAATTCACAACTATGTATGCTCAGAACTGTGTATTACATTCACTAAGGTACAAAGAAGAGTTAGTGGTCATAACCCAATAGAATGTATAGGCACATAACAATTAAGCATATTTTACAAAAAAAGAATGTGTTCAAAACCAACGGTAGGCTTCTTTGTAATTCCGTATGTATTTCCATACACAATTCCACACACCCCTCCAAACAGAGTAACTGCAGCAGAAGATGCCCACTGTGGAAAGTATAACAGCTGGACGCCTCTCCCAGGTATAAATCAAGATGCCAGAATGGGAGGGCTTTTGGAATATTGTTCCAACTGGTGGACCTCCTGATGGCACCTGGGGTTTGGCCACTGTGTGACAGGGTGCTGGACTGGATGGCCCATTCTTCTGATCCAACATTGGCTTCTCCTCTGTTCTTACATGCCTGTGTTGTGTATTTACCCTCTAGTGGAGGAGCATAGCACTGTTTTGTCTAATAACGGAATATGCTTCTGTTCCCTTGTTGAGTGCTGATCCTGGAATGTTTGCAACCCATGGCTCAGGTCCATTTTTTGTGATTGTCTCCCCCTCCTGGGGCAGTTGGACTAACCCCCTAAAGTTCTGTTCCACCTGAGCCCGTTAAAGGGAGGGCGGGATACAAATCCAATAATAAAAAACAATAACCCCCCCCATCCTTCACGGTAAGGATTTCAGGGGCCATTTTGGGCTGCCGTAGGAGGGGAGAGAGTGGCGCTCCGCAGGTGGAAATGCTGCTCTATGTTCAAGCATGGGCATGCATAGACCAGCAGGAGAGACAAACATGCTGTTCCTAGCAGCAAACTAGACTGCCCGATGAACGCATGGACTCTTCAGACTCGCACTCAAGATGGAATGCTGGGCCACCCTGCTGGCCAATGGCTGGCTTGCAATAAGGCTTGAGCCTGTGGGCACCTTAGGAATTCTGGCACAGTGGGATGGGTGCAGCCACAAAATGGCCACCGCCACTGCTTACCTTCAGCCACACAGTGAAGACCTGTGAGTTCTGGAGGCAGCTGCTGCCAAAACATTTTTTAAAAATCTGCACAGCCAATTATATTCCAGTCAAAAACCTTCCTGGGCAAAAGCTCCACCTGGCCCTACCCAATTTCTAGAAACACTTGGTGGGCAGCATGGCGCCCATGGGAACCACATGGGGGACACCCGCAACAAAAGATTCCAACGTGGAAGGGGCTCCTCCTTAACTTCCAGGTCTGTGGGTACACCTGCAGCAAAATCAGGAACATCTTTAGCTTTCAGAGGCTTAGACTGGATTCAGACAGTATTATTGTCTCCTCTGCACATGGCCTTTTACCTTGGCCTGTTAAGCGCAGTGCTGGATGCTAAAGCCAGGAAGGCCACAATGGGGGAAAGTTTGTGTCTAACAACTTCAGCCAGCTTAATTTCCCTGGATTCCAATGGCAGCTGCAAAAGTTATGCTGGGGTAGTGGTGGTTCTCTGTTGTTTTAAGAGGAAGTAAAGCCCTAATGGAAGTTGTGGTAGCTATGGGCTACAAAGGTGGTAAAGGTATTACGTTAAAAGTGCTTACATGTCCCGTTTGTGACAGATTGTCAGGGACACATTTTTCCCAGTACCCTTTGTGATCCAGAAAAAAGGATAGACTTTTTCTTTGAATTGGGCCCTGCGGGTATGAAGGTGAGAATAATTTTTTGCGTCATAAAAAGAGACCTGACCTTTGTCATAGTCCAGATACACTCCAAATCTCTGACTGAAGGTCCCACCTTCAGGACCAATGTCTTCTGCTGTGCGCAGCCGTAAAGCCCACACCTTGCCTACAATATCTTGAGCGGGAACCCGAACTTTCCTTTCTATGGATTCTGTGGCCACCCCGATAGCCCAGTCTGCTGCATCTTTTGTCTCGATTTCCCAGTAATGTTCACCGGAACAGAAGCTGCTTTTCCCCAGTACTATGGGATAGGCTCCTACTTCCAGGTCTGTGGGTACACTGCAGCAAAATCAGGAACATCTTTAGCTTTCAGAGGCTTAGATTGGATTCAGACAGTATTATTGTCTCCTCTGCACACGGCCTTTTACCTTGGCCTGTTAAGCGCAGTGCTGGATGCTAAAGCCAGGAAGGCCACAATGGGGGAAAGTTTGTGTCTAACAACTTCAGCCAGCTTAATTTCCCTGGATTCCAATGGCAGCTGCAAAAGTTATGCTGGGGTAGTGGTGGTTCTCTGTTGTTTTAAGAGGAAGTAAAGCCCTAATGGAAGTTGTGGTAGCTATGGGCTACAAAGGTGGTAAAGGTATTACGTTAAAAGTGCTTACATGTCCCGTTTGTGACAGATTGTCATGGACACATATTTCCCAGTGCACCTTGTGATTTTCCAGAAAAAAGGATAGACTTTTTCTTTGAATTGGGCCCTGCGGGTATGAAGGTGAGAATAATTTTTTGCGTCATAAAAAGAGACCTGACCTTTGTCATAGTCCAGATACACTCCAAATCTCTGACTGAAGGTCCCACCTTCAGGACCAATGTCTTCTGCTGTGCGCAGCCGTAAAGCCCACACCTTGCCTACAATATCTTGAGCGGGAACCCGAACTTTCCTTTCTATGGATTCTGTGGCCACCCCGATAGCCCAGTCTGCTGCATCTTTTGTCTCGATTTCCCAGTAATGTTCACCGGAACAGAAGCTGCTTTTCCCCAGTACTATGGGATGGTTCTGAAATCTCTCTGGGTTGTCGTAGCACTTCGAAATTTTCCACTCAGTCTCCACATGTGTTCCATTCTGACTGATAATCAATAGAGGATGAGAAGTATTGGGGTCCAGTTGGACAGGTTCTAACCCTGGTAGGAAAGGGAAGAATTGCATTCAGTTGGGTGTTATCAGTCTTATCCCACACATTACTTCCTAGAATGCAAAGGGCAGGTTCTAATCCAGTGATTTCCCAGCAGTTTCACCAAGTTTGGGAAAGAATCCATCAGAGGAGGAGAAAATGCAGAAAGAGGATGATGACGGGACAGCACCCTGGGACTTTCCATATGGAGGTTTTACTTGAGGCCTGGTGCCAAACTGCAACAGTTTTTCCTGCAAGCTTCCTTGTCTTCCATGTGCTGTTTCTCTGTCCTTTCTCATATCAGCTCAAAGGTCAATAGAGAAAGCAGAGGGAAACAGCCAGGAAATCCACCCAAATTCATTAAGTTATTGCCGCTCTGCACTCAACCAGCAGGAAACGCCCTGTGTGAAATGTATGTAAACATGTGCTCCAGAAACCCCCGCTCCAAGGGTTGGATGCCAAACTGGAGCAAAACCTCAGTATGGAGGCAAGCCGCCTACGCTTTCTCAGTCTCCACATGCTTGTGCCTCACTCTTTTGCAAAACTGGCTTCAAAGTGGAAAGGTACTCCCCCCCCCTCAAGCTACAGTCCTGAAACATAATTCTTGTTTCGTCTTCAGCACTCTGAATCGGGGGACGTTTATACAGGGGCATGCTTTTTTTCTCACAATAGAAGCCTGAGCAAGGCTGTTAACATTTTGGAGGCTGTTAATTCATAGGGTTGCTGTAAGTGGGAAATGATTTGACGGCACATAACAAAACCCGCACAGTTGTGGGAGTTCTGTTGTTCCCTCACAGATGAGTTGGATGCAGACATATCTATGTTCGCAGAATGCAAACTAGATTTTACTGGTCTGTCTAAGCCCTGGATCTCCAACATTTTTGAACCTGAGGGCACCTTTGGAATTAAGGGTTGCTGTAAGTGGGAAATGATTTGAAGGCACATAACACACAAGCCAGGAATCTGGAGAAAACAAAACCCACACAGTTGTGGGAGTTCTGTTGTTCCCTCACAGATGAGTTGGATGCAGACATATCTATGTTCGCAGAATGCAAACTAGATTTTACTGGTCTGTCTAAGCCCTGGATCTCCAACATTTTTGAACCTGAGGGCACCTTTGGAATTCTGACACAGGATGGTGGGCACAACCACAAAATGGCTCGCACTAAAGTTGGAACTGTATAGGGTTGCCAGGGCTCTTGGACCTGCCAGCAAGGGATGGGGTGTGTGAACTTAACGGGAGTGGGGAGGGA